CATTTGTTTACTTTAATTTTCATGTGTACATGATTATGTCATCAATGTCTTCATTTCTACTATTGTGCAGGCATAACTTACATCTCATTTTCTGACAGTCGCGGCCTCTTGTTCAACTCTATTTATCAATATCACCATCTCCATCCTCGCCGCGATTATTACCATTATCACAATCATCACTACCATCATCAGCACCATCATTATCAAATCATCATCACCACTACCACCCCCTTATCATTTTCACATCCATCACTACCATCACCATCACCACCATTATTTCCATGATCACCATTATTACCATCAATTATCACCATCACCAGTGACCACCATTATCGCCATCATTATCAAAGTAATCAGCATCATTATAATTATTATAGCATTATCACTACCATTATTACCATCAACACAATCATCATCACCATTATTATCACCAACATCAATATCATCACAATCACCATCATTATCATCTTTATCATTATTATATCATTATCACTATCACTTCTGTTATTAACATAATCACAATCATCACTACCATCATCATCACCATTATCACCATTATTACCATCACCATCCTCACCACCATTTCACAATCATCACTACCATCACCATCATCATCACCATTATTACCATCACCATCCTCACCACCATTTTCACAATCATCACTACCATCATCATCATCATCACCATTATTACCATCACTATCCTAACCACCATTATCACAATCATCACTACCATCATCATCATCACCATTATTATCACCATTATTACCATCACCATCCTAACCACCATTATCACAATCATCACTACCATCATCATCATTATTATCACCATTATTACCATCACCATCCTCACCACCATTATCACAATCATCCCTACCATCATCATCATCATCATCACCATTATTATCACCATTATTACCATCACCATCCTAACCACCATTATCACAATCATCCCTACCATCATCATCATCACCATTATTATCACCATTATTACCATCACCATCCTCACCACCATTATCACAATCATCCCTACCATCATCATCATCACCATCCTCACCACCATTATCACAATCATCACTACCATCATCATCACCATTATTATCACCATTATTACCATCACCATCCTAACCACCATTATCACAATCATCACTACCATCATCATCATCATTATTATCACCATTATTACCATCACCATCCTCACCACCATTATCACAATCATCCCTACCATCATCATCATCAAAACACCATTATTATCACCATTATTATCACCATTATTACCATCACCATCCTCACCACCATTATCACAATCATCACTACCATCATCATCATCAAAACACCATTATTATCACCATTATTATCACCATTATTACCATCACCATCCTCACCACCATTATCACAATCATCCCTACCATCATCATCATCAAAACACCATTATTATCACCATTATTACCATCACCATCCTCACCACCATTATCAAAATCATCACTACCATCATCATCATCAAAACACCATTATTATCACCATTATTACCATCACCATCCTCACCACCATTATCATCATCATTAGTATCACAAACATCACTATCAGAGCTGCCAACCTTGTGCAACCAAAAAAAGGAATCATGATGGCAAAAAAAAGGAATTTCAAGCAAAAAAAAGGAATTCATAAAAATAAAACTTATAACCACGCGCGACACACTTCCAATGCAGAAATGTTCATTCATCATGCTGTTTTTTCCATACAAGCAGGAATTTTTTTGGTGGTTATTTTGGTATTATCAGCATTTTATTTATATAAATTTTATAAAATTAGTTTTCTAGTTGAATTTGTGATTGAATCACCATTTTAGGGCAGTTGTTTCACGTACGGTATTAATAAAAAAAAACTTATTTTATGAAGAAAAAACGTAATACCGTAATTGGGAGGAAAAACAGAGTAATTCCGGCAAAAACGGAATGGTTGGCAGCTCAGCACTACCATCCCATTATCATCATAATTGCATGCAATTGTACAATAAACAGTAATCATTAATTTTTAAAGGATAATTATTGCTGGTTAATGGACAGGGTCGTACATTCAAGTTTCCATCACATAACCACAGCCTTCTCACCAGAAAAGTAGCATATTGTTGCATTCAAAAGGTATGAGAATCACAAATCACAAAAATCAAAATGAGTAAGATGTAGAATACAAGATGTTTATCATTATCATCCATCCAGCAGATGATTTTAATATTTGAACATACATGTAATTATGAACAAAATAAATACTAAATCCCTGTGTAAAAACATAAAGTACATAGCTCTTCTATTCCTTTGTCATAAATATGCAATGTACACCATCACATAATCTGTCTAAAAATTAAGTCAAGTGCAATTTTTAATACCATATTTCATGTCCTACACAGTTCATGTTCATATGTAATGTGCTATTGTAATCTTCTCTGTAATGTTTACATAACCTTTCAAGTTTTTCATTAGTTGATCAATAAACCGGTTTACTAACATATAAAAATTTTATGAATACTTTTTAAACGAAGGTTGTTCTTGACAACGTGACAGCTTACCCAGCATAGCAACAAACACTTTATGCAGACTGTATTCCAAGTATTGTAGTTTAATCATTAGACAGGTTAATGGAATAGCTAGTTACTACGTTCCCAGGAAAGAAACATTCATAAATTTGAATATGTTAGTAAACCAGTCAATTCCTTGCATGAACATACACAAAAACAGGGAGGATGCCACGGGATGCCATAATCCCAAATATGACACAGTTACACGGAGTCTACAAGGCTAGATGACATCACAGGCTGAAGAATTGGGCTACACTGATCACAAATGACCAATGCATTATAAAAGGACATAAAGAAGAACCTTTTCTAGTAGAGAAGTCTGTACTTTAATATTATATTTAATAAAATAATTCCCAAATTGGTTTAAGACGCAAATACATGTATGGATACCCAACCTCCTCAGTATATTCATCTCACTTGTTAATTCGTTTGATCACCTGACACCTCCTCTTGCTCTGCTTTAATTACTATGTTAACTATTGTTCTGAATTAGTGTTTATAAAACAACATTAGATCCTCTGTTAATTTGTGCTTAATAATAAGTTAAACCTTGTGTATTTACTGTTAATGTCTACATTTTTGTAATTCATTAGTAAATGTTAATCTGTATATAATATGTTACACCAGTGAAAATCAAATATCCAGAAATGGACAATAAATACTAAATTGAAATTGAATTAAATTGAAACCAATTTACAATGATGAAAGTCCGTTTGCGGTATACAGACGGTAGCCCAATGAATTTATTACTGCTAATAACATTTGACATCTACTGTAAATTATAATTAACTGGTAACAAGTAAATTGGAGGTCTAATAGCAATAAAAGGTCATTTTTGTAATGTAATCAGATGCAAGAATCTTTATCAAGTGCCATGTTACAAATTATTTCATTCACCTGTATTTGTATTTCAACAGCCAGAATGGGATTGCATACATTAATTGTTGCTTGTTGCATTTTGGCTTGTCCTAACTTACAACACATAATATATGCAATTCGCATTCAGACTTTTGAAATAATTATTTGTAACATAGATGGTCATAGATGCCTTGAAGACAAACAACGTTCAAGAGGCAGAAATTTTTGCAAGAAGATAATAATGAATATATATATATATATATATATATATATGTACTGTAAATGCTAATTGGTACCTTTAATTAGAAGTGTCCCTCTTTAGTTCATGCTTCTTAAACAATATTTTGCAAAACCAATATTATGTCTCCTATTATTCTTTATACAGACTTTGGTCAGAAGAATGGTGCGTCATCGGGCGCTTACAAAATTAGGCACCGTCCTATTCAACGAAACCGTGCGGGAAATCACCAGCTATATAAACATCCAGGTGAAGAGTCAACAGTACGACTATGTGAGGAAAGATGTAGCCAGGCATAATTGTGACAGAAATTCTGTTGCAAAGAAAAAGCATCAAAAGTACCTGAAATACACATCTGTCCCTTGACAGAATAACGATGCGGCACCGGGCCCTTAACACTTTAGGGACGGTCCGGTTTGACGACACAGTGCGAGAAATCAACAGTTACCTTAACATCGAGGTGAAGAGTCACTAGAGGACTATGTGAGGAAAGATGTAGACAGGCACATTTCAAACAGAAATTTTGTGGCAAAGAAAAAGCATCAAAGGTACCTAAAATTCACATCTGTATTTTTCTTTAAACAGACTTCGGTCAGAAGAATTGTGCGGCACCGGGCCCTCAAAACTTTAGGGACGGTCCTATTCGATGACACGGTGAGGGAATTAGCAGGATATATGGACATCGGGGTGAAAAGTCACTTCTACGAGACGTTAAGGATGGATGTTGCCAGACATATATCGAACCGAAATTCTGTGGCATAAGAAAAAGCATCAAAGGTACCTGAAATTCATATCTGTATTTTTCTTTAAACAGACTTCGGTCAGAAGAATTGTGCGGCACCGGGCCCTCAAAACTTTAGGGACGGTCCTATTCGATGACACGGTGAGGGAATTAGCAGGATATATGGACATCGGGGTGAAAAGTCACTTCTACGAGACGTTAAGGATGGATGTTGCCAGACATATATCGAACCGAAATTCTGTGGCATAAGAAAAAGCATCAAAGGTACCTGAAATTCATATCTGTCCCTTGACAAAAGAAAGATGCGGCACCGGGCCCTTAACACTTTAGGGACGGTTCGGTTTGACAACACAGTGCAAGAAATCAACAGTTACCTTAACATCGAGGTGAAGAGTCACCAGGACGACTATGTGAGGAAAGATGTAGACAGGCACATTTCAAACAGAAATTTTGTGGCAAAGAAAAAGCATCAAAGGCACCTGAAATTCACATCTGTATTTTTCTTCATACAGACTTTGGTCAGAAGAATGGTGCAGCACCGGGCCCTCAAAACTTTAGGGACGGTCCTATTCGATGACACGGTGAGGGAATTAGCAGGATATATGGACATCGGGGTAAAAAGTCACTTCTACGAGACGTTAAGGAAGGATGTTGCCAGACATATATCAAACAGAAATTCTGTGGCATAAGAAAAAGCATCAAAGGTACCTGAAATTCACATCTGTCCCTTGACAGAAGAATGGTACGGCACTGCCGTTTCTTAAATTAGGCGCTGTCCAATTCTACGAAACCGTGCGTGAAATCGCAAGGTATCTGAACATCCGGGTGAAGAGTCACCAGTACGACCATGTGAGGAAAGATGTAGCCAGGCATATTTTTAACAAAAATTCTGTGGCAAAGAAAAAACATTGAAGGTACCTGTCCCTTGACAGAAGAAAGATGCGGCACTGGGCCCTTAACACTTTAGGGACGGTCCGGTTTGACGACACAGTGCAAGAAATCAACAGTTACCTTAACATTGAGGCGAAGAGTCACGAGGACGACTATGTGAGGAAAAATGTACACAGGCACATTTCAAACAGAAATTTCGTGGCAAAGAAAAAGCATTGAAAGTACCTGAAATTCACATCTGTCCCTTGAGGGGGGGAGGTGGGCTTGGAGGGAGGGAAGCAGGGCATTGAAGGGAGGAGAGTGCACAAAATCGAGAGTTATCTGAACCGAGACCTTGAGGAAAGATGTAGCCAGGCATATATCTAACAGAAATATTGTGGCAAAGAAAAAGCATTGAAAGTACCTGAAATTCATATCTGTCCCTTGAAGGAGAGGAGCCGTGCTTAGAGGAAGGGGAGCGGGGCTTGGAGGGAGGAGAGTGCGAGAAATCGCGAGTTATCTGAACATCGAGACCGTGAGGAAAGATGTAGCCAGGCATATATCTAACAGAAATTTTGGGGCAAAGAAAAAGCATTGAAGGTACCTGAAATTCACATCTGTCCCTTGAGGGAGAGGAGCCGGGCTTAGAGGAAGGGGAGCAGGGCATGGAGGGAGGAGAGTGCGAGAAATCGCGAGTTATCTGAACATCAAGGTGAAGAGTCACCATTACGAGCCGTGAGAAAAGATGTAGCCAGGCACATTTCGAACAAAAATTCTGTGTACCAAGTCGGATGATCCAAATATTTCCTTAGGAATGCCACATACTGGGCCAAATTTAAACTTAAATTTAGACTCCATAACCTCCAAACTGAACGCCCCTGCCCAAGTACCCTTTTTGGACGAGATAGAGTCTAAACAGAACGCGCCTGCCCAAGTGCCCTTTTTGGACGAGATAGAGCAGCTTTATCATGATATACTGATACTTCATCCACTAGAGGGAGAAGATGAGGAGGAAAAAGGGGATTTCCCCATTGAAATAAGTGATCAGCCACATAAGGTATCCGGAAGGCAAAGGTACCTGAAATTCACATCTGTCCCTTGACAGAAGAATGGTACGGCACTGCCGTTTCTTAAATTAGGCGCTGTCCAATTCTACGAAACCGTGCGTGAAATCGCAAGGTATCTGAACATCCGGGTGAAGAGTCACCAGTACGACCATGTGAGGAAAGATGTAGCCAGGCATATTTTTAACAAAAATTCTGTGGCAAAGAAAAAACATTGAAGGTACCTGAAATTCACATCTGTCCCTTGAGGGAGAGGAGCCGGGCTTAGAGGAAGGGGAGCAGGGCATGGAGGGAGGAGAGTGCGAGAAATCGCGAGTTATCTGAACATCAAGGTGAAGAGTCACCATTACGAGCCGTGAGAAAAGATGTAGCCAGGCACATTTCGAACAAAAATTCTGTGTACCAAGTCGGATGATCCAAATATTTCCTTAGGAATGCCACATACTGGGCCAAATTTAAACTTAAATTTAGACTCCATAACCTCCAAACTGAACGCCCCTGCCCAAGTACCCTTTTTGGACGAGATAGAGTCTAAACAGAACGCGCCTGCCCAAGTGCCCTTTTTGGACGAGATAGAGCAGCTTTATCATGATATACTGATACTTCATCCACTAGAGGGAGAAGATGAGGAGGAAAAAGGGGATTTCCCCATTGAAATAAGTGATCAGCCACATAAGGTATCCGGAAGGCAAACTCTCCAGGGGTAACTTGCCCTACTTGCTGCCAGTCTGAAAACAGAAAAGATGACCATGATTCGGGTGCTCCACGCTGATCCGCTGCCTGGTGCCATCAGGGCCATGAGGCGACCAAATTTCAATCCAGCGGGGATGCTAGATATTATATTCCGGACTGTCCAGGTGGAAAATGAGAATCTATCTGCGATGGTACGTTCCGTGAACTGTAAGTTAATTGCAGACATGAAAAATGACAAATGCAATGTGTGTTTATTTGCAAGAGTAGATCTTGTATCTCGGAAGGTGAAGGATGCTAAAGATACGAATAAAACCATTCCAAGCTCAAAAACGAAATTATCTTATCTACACTGTAACACCAGATGAGCTGAAACTTGGATCAAGGAAACTTTGAAATGTAAAGGAAAAAAAAGGACAAAAATCTGGACAGAGGGAGACCCTAGCCAAGCACTCTGGCAGACCCGTAGTCCTTTAATAGTGGTGAGTTATCACAAGTAGTCGATTTGTTGTTCTCCCTAAGTTAATGGCTTTCAAATCTAAAGCAATGAGATAGAGATTATGTTACCTACATGTACAGGAAAGAGTTCCTCGTGTATAACGTTCATGCACTTCTCCACCTGGTTAAAGATGCACAAACGTTTGAGCCACTAGATAAATGTGCAGCTTGGAAATTTGAAAATGTTATGCAGAGGATAAAAAGGAAAGTTAGAAGTGGAACCAAACCAGCAGCTCAAATCGTCAGAAGGACTTTGGAGGAGCAAGAGACAATACATATGGAAGAGAGGTCTAACAAAAAAATTGCTATACACTGGCCAGTTTGTCCTGAAAGAAAGAGGAAAGTTACAGTCATTTTATGGTATTCAGTGTTGCTATTTGCATCCTAGTTAGTCCTCAACTTGCAGTAACAAATGGAAGCTATGCAGGCCAATTATTGCAGTACCTTGTGAATCAAGGTGCAGAATTGTACGGGAAAGAGTTCCTCCCTCGTGTACAATGTCCATGCACTCCTCAATCTGGTCAAATATGCTCAAAGGTTTGGGTTCCTGGACAAATGTGCATCTTGGAAATTCGAAAATTTCATGCAGAGGCTAAAAAGAAAAGTAAGAAGTGGGACCAAACCCGCAGCTCAGATCGTATGAAGGACTTTGGAGGAGCAAGAGACGGTACATGTGGAAGAGCGGTCTACCAACAAAATTTGCTGTACACTGGTCAGTTTGACCTGAAAGAAGTACTTCCTGAGGAGAATTACAGTCATTTTATGGTATTCAGTGTTGCTATTTGCATCCTAGTTAGTCCTCAACTCGCAGTAACCCATGGAAGCTATGCAGGCCAATTATTGCAGTACTTTGTGAGTCAAGGTGCAGAATTGTACGGGAAAGAATTCCTTGTGTACAATGTCCATGCACTCCTCCATCTGGTCAAAGATGCACAAAGGTTTGGGTCCATGGACAAAGGTGCAGCTTGGAAATTCGAAAATTTCATGCAGAGGCTAAAAAGGAAAGTAAGAAGTGGGACCAAACCAGCAGCTCAGATCGTAAGAAGGACTTTGAAGGAGCAAGAGACAATACATGTGGAAGAAAGGTCTACCAAATTTTGTTGCTATATACTGGCCAGTTTGTCCTGAAAGAAGTACTTCCTGAGGAAAATTACAGTCATGTTATGGTTTTCAGTGTTGCTATTTGCTTCCTAGTTAGTCCTCGACTTGCAGTAACCCATGGAAGCTAGGCAGGCCAATTATTGCAGTACTTTGTGAGTCAAGCTGCAGAATTGTACGGGAAAGAGTTCCTTGTATACAATGTCCATGCACTCCTCCATCTGGTCAAAGATGCACAAAGGTTTGGGTCCCTGGATTTCATCCAGAGGCTACAAAGGAAAGTTAGAATTGGGACCAAACCAGCAGCTTTAATTGTCAGAAGGACTTTGGAGGAACAAGAGACAATGCACGTGGAAGAGAGGTCTACCAACATTTTTTGTCCATGCCCTGTAGTCTTTTGTGGTGAGTTATCACAAGTAGTAGATTTGTCATTCTCCCCAAGTTAATGGCTTTCAAATGTAAAGCAATGGTTATAACATAGAGATTATGTTACCAACATGTATGTGTATAATTATAATTTCATTTACTTATCGCAAACACTATTAAAATTTGATAAAAACTTGCATGAAACAAGAAACTCTTGCTAATCAATAAGTATATACTACTACTTGATTGGAAGGGGATGGACGTAACGACAGCCCTGGCTTCAGTGCCCAATACTTAACATACACGTTCATGGAGCACAAGACTAAAGATGTTGTGAACATCCACTTTGTTAGGTGCATCGTTTGGAGCACACCTCCAGATCTATAATGAATATTCATATCAGGCCAGGCGCCGCTTACACATTACCTATTGCTACCATGTACGTACAATGCAAAGTTTATGTACATGTATATTGCACATTGCATAGCATAACATTATTGTTATTATTATTTTTATTTGGCAAAAACGAGTAAACAAGAGAAGTGTAACTAAGTAAAGCAAATGCAACCACTGGAATGCCAGGGGCTTCGAAGAAGTTAACTGAATAACTGTGTCAGTACATCCCCTTGGAGAGTGTATTTAAAGACAGTGTACTGTAGCTGCAGATTATATGCATGGACTAGTTTTAGATGTAATGAAAATGCTCATTGAACTTTTGTTTGATAGTAGTCACCAAAAAGAAGCTTATCAAAATTTATTAAAGAAAGTGAGAGAAGTCGATAGGAGATTAAACGGAATTTCACCCCTATACACTGTATATACCATATCTAGAATGCCTCGTTATATAGGAATTCACTTCAAATCTTGGAAGGCATCAGAATTTAGGTCATTTTTATTATTTTACGGAATTCCTCGTTTGTGGGCCAAGATTTTGCCTCCAGAATATTTCCAGCATTTTCTTCTACTGAATGAAGCATCCTTCATACTACTTTCTAACTCAATGTCAGACCAATGCTTGAAAAAGGAAGAAAAACTACTCTGTCACTTGTGGCTGTGTATTGAGGCATTATATGGCAAAACATACAAACATGGAATACGCATAGCTTATTGCATTACGTACAGAAAGTAGAGTTCTAGGGCCATTGTGGGCCAATTCATTTTTTGGGTATGAATGAAGATTTTAATGGAGACCTTATGAATTTCTTTAACAGTACTTGTTTGATTTGGTTTATACAGATGTTGGGAGGAGAAGAGGTGATACTGCCCGCGGTTGGTGGGGTCATCCAGCCCCTTGGACAATAGAAAGTGACATGTTATCACCCTCTCTTCCCAGAGGAGAAAGCTGATAGTCATGAAAGCGAGACAGTTCAAAACTTGACAAAGCTCTTATTGAGGCCCCCACCTCAACTTGTGTTGGCACCAGAAAAGAGACTACCGACCTTTGATGGGGCAGGTGATGTACAGGACTTTCTGACTGCCATGGGAGATGCCTTCACGCACTACAACGTCCCATCCCCTCGACAAGCCACCTTTCTCCTAGATTACCTAAGAGGAGGGCCGAGTGGGCTTTGTGGGAGGGGAACGGGGCTTGGAGGGAGGGGAGCAGGAACAGGGAGTAAAGAGGTTTGGGTTTTAAGTTGACACCGACACCAACACCGCAAAAAAATGCCTTCATTCCTCCAGAATTAAAAGAGTAATGAATAAAAAATATTGTGTTTAGTTAGTATGTATATATAAGAGCCAGCGGAGATGCTTGATATCATATTCCGGACTTCAGGAGCGGACAAAACGGGCGAGGGAGCCGTGTGCCATCCAGAGCTTTTGTGCTCGACAGAGCCTATGCCGTCCAAGTGGAAAATGGTAGACAGGAGAATCTATCTGCGATGGTATGTTCCGTGAACTGAGAGTTAACTGTAGACATGAAAAATGACAAATGCTATGTGTGTTCATTTGCAAGAGTAGATCTTGTATCTTGGAAGGTGAAGGATGCTAAAGATACGAATAAAACCATTCCAAGCTCAAAAACGAAATTATCTTACCTACATGTAACACCGGATGAGCTGAAACTTTGAAATGTAAAGAAAAAAAAGGACAAAAATCTGGACAGAGGGAGACCCTTCCCAAACACTCTGGCAGACCCGTAGTCCTTTAATAGTGGTGAGTTATCACAAGTAGTAGATTTATTGTTCTCCCCAAGTTAATGGCTTTCAGATCTAAAGCAATGGTTATAAGATAGAGATTAAGTTACCTACGGGAAAGAGTTTCTGGTGTATAATGTTCATGCACTTCTCCACCTGGTTAAAGATGCAAGAACGTTTGGGTCATTAGACAAATGTGCAGCTTGGAAATTTGACAATTTCATGCAGATGCTAAAAAGGAAAGTAAGACGTAAGACCAAACCAGCAGCTCAGATCGTAAGAAGGAATTTGGAGGAGCAAGAGACAATACATGTTGAAGAGAGGTCTACCAACAATTTTTGCTATACACTGGCCAGTTTGTCCTGAAAGAAGTACTTCCTGAAGAGAATTACAGTCATTTTAGGGTATTCAGTGTTGCTATTTGCATCCTAGTTAGTCCTCGACTTGCAGTAACCCATTGAAGCTATGCAGGCCAATTATTGCAGTACTTTGTGAGTCAAGGTGCAGAATTGTACGGGAAAGAGTTCCTGGTATACAATGTCTAAGCACTCCTCAATCTGGTCAAAGATGCACAAAGGTTTGGGTCCCTGGACAAATGTGCAGCTTGGAAATTTGAAAATTTCATGCAGAGGCTAAAAAAGAAAATAAGAAGTGGGACCAAACCAGCAGCTCAGATCGTAAGAAGGACTTTGAAGGAGCAAGAGACAATACCCTAGCCAAACGGAAGAAGTTAACTGAATAACTGTGTCAGTATATACATGGAGAATGTATTCAAGCTTAAACAGTCACAAGGCTTAAGACAGTGTACTGTAGCTGCAGATTATATGCATGGACTAGTTTTAGATGTAATGAAAATGCTTATTAATCTTTGGTTTCATAGTAGTCACCATAAAGAAGCTTATAGTTTATCAAATAAAGTGAGATAAGTATTCTCCCTTCATACAATTAAATCTGAGGCAAATGCGAACCAGCATGTGGCCCAGGTGAGGAGGGTTATAGCATCTTCCCTTTGCAATGGGTCATTGGATGGCCTTCTCACCTTCGAGGAGGCCTCAACCATGTGGGTTGCAAGTCAAAAGGCGTAGAAGAAGGTTGAGAGGACTGTGGCAAGTTATTGTCACAGTATAGCTGGATTCTTTGATTTTTAGGCCACCGGAAAGATAAAAAAACACCTTCAACATCTCCCTTGGCATCGAGTCCCTCTAGCAAAAAATACAGGACTGGAGGAAGACTGCAGCTTCACTGGTGAAGGAAGGGAAAGTCAGACAAGTCGAATTGAACGAGCGTGGATACAGTAAGAATTCATATATCAGACTGGCCCATTTTAGAGTTTATATGCTGTAACTTCAGACTTCGGGAGAGCAGGAAAAGGGAGTAAAGAAGTTTTGGTTTTACGTTGACACGGACACCAACACCGCAAAAAATTCCTTTGTTCCTCGAGAATTATAAGAGAAATGAAAAAAAGTGAGAAATATAAAATATTGTGTTTAGTATATATATATATATATATATATATATATATATATATATATATATAAAAGCCAGCGGAGATGCTTGATATCATATTCCGGACTTCAGGAGCGGACAGAACGGGCGAGGGAGCCGTGTGCCATCCAGAGCTTTTGTGCTCAACAGAGCCTATGCTGTCCTAGTGGAAAATGGTAGACAGGAGAATCTATCTGTGATGGTACATTCCATGAGCTATAAGTTAATTGTAGACATGAAAAATGACAAATGCTGTGTGTGTTCATTTGCAAGAGTAGATCTTGTATCTTGGAAGGTGAAGGATGCTAAAGATACAAATAAAACCATTCCAAGCTCAAAAACGAAATTATCTTATAATAAATCTAACACCGGATGAGCTGAAACTTCGATCAAAGAAACTTTGACATGAAAAGAAAAAAAAGGACAAAAATCTGGAGTCTACAAAAAAGAAAGAAACCAATGTTTGAGAAGGAGAGCTTCGAAGATCCAACGAAAGTAGGTGTAATGGAAAACCTAATCAAAAGCTCAACTGCAGAGTTAGAAGAAGTCCTGCCTCCCAACTCTGCTGTTGGATAGATGGATGGAGCAGTGGAACCACCTCTTGCTACAGTGGAAAATTTTCTTTTGTGATGTTCCCCATCTCCTGAAGACCACACGGAACAACTTAGAGAATTCTGGCTTTGCTCGTAAGATTCGCAATCTGACAGCAAGGAGATAAATATATACTATACAGTATGTTCTAAAAAAAACGAGTACTAGTAATCAGAATGTTAATTGCAGGCGCGTACGCAGGATTTTTTCAAGGGGGGGGGGGGGTTTTAACATTTATAAATCGGGCCGAAAATTTCGCAACGACTCAGCCAGCCGCTGAATAAGCGGGGGGGGGGGGGGGGAAGAGGACACTTTTTTTTTTTGGTCTCAAAATTTGAAAATTTGACATTTGGCTCCGTTTGGGGGGAGGTAAGGTCACCTTTTTAGGTCAGTCATTTATTTTTTTTTAATAATTAAAAAAAAAAAAAAAAAAAAAAAATTCCAAGAGGGGGGGGGGGGGGGGGGGGGGGTTTCACATATAAAAATACCAAAGGGGGGGGGGGGGGGGTTTAACCCCCAAACCCCCCCCCCCCCCTCTAATGTAAATATCATGGTTTGTTAAAATAAACAAGCAACATAATTCTGTGAAGCAATCATGCATACATGTAAAATAAAAAATTCATTCGTTTTATCTCGTTATCATCCTTTTCACACTTTTGACTTTTTAGCAGATTATCTAAAATGCCCTGTAATATTAAAACTCACTTAAAATCTTGAAAGGCATCAGACTTTACGTCATTTTTATTATTTAACGGAATTCCTCGTTTGTAGGCTGGAATTTTGCCTCCAGAATATTTCCAGCATTTTCTTCTACTGAATGAAGCATCCTTCATATTACTTTCAGACTCAATATCAGACCAATGCTTGAAAAGGGAAGAAAAACTACTCTATCACTTCGGTCTGCGTATTGAGGCATTATATGGCAAAACATACAAACATGGAATACACATAGCTTATTGCATTACGTACAGAAAGTAAGAGATCTAGGGCCATTGGCCTATTCATGTTTTGGTATGAAGATTTTTACGGAGACCTTATGAATTTCTTTAACGGTACTCATGGAATTGAAATGCAGATCATTTCAGCTATATATTTTCAGAAGACTTTTCCACATTTTTTTAATTCTGTGGGTATAGGAACTTTAGTTTATGATTTCTTATCGAAATTAATGGAAAAATCTCAGCCAGGAAAATTACAGACCAAATATATGATATAAATGTATATCATGTTAATATATGATAGTGTGTACATTGTACATGTACTGTATGTCATTGGGAGTATGTAATTAGCAAATGCAGTCATTTGTCATTGGCATGTTCTTGGTCGCTCAGTAAAAAGAATGCATTTGTTTTTTAGATTGAAAGTTAAAGGTGTGTTTGTTTCCTCTAGAAAGTATGGACTTGGAATTAAGTGGAATAGTTCTCATAGTAAGATTCAGCACTAAGGATGGCACTGTTGCATTTGGCCATATTAAGTATTTTACCAAATGTTACACGACTTGTCCAAACAATACATATTGCAGTGCAAATAATTGATCTCCATGAGGCAATGATCCAACAGTTGATGTCAGGCAGCCCTGACTTTCCCAAGTTCTGGGGTACCCTTGATCTCGGTAACGAACTCTGCCAGGCTGTCGAGTTCATGGGGTGTAAGAAGACGGGTACCAGCTACCCTCTCCACGAACCGCCATCGCTGTCGATGTGCAACGTTGTCAAGATCGCAGTATCCCCCAAACTCTCCAAAAAAAGACAAAAATATTGTGTACAGTTGGTTTAGAGACATTTCTTGTGTGTGTGTGTGTGTTTTGTTTTGTTTTGTGATATTTAGTGTAGTGCTGTGTGTTGAGTACTTTTATTCCTTTCCTTTCTAGCAATGAGTTGTGTGTGTGTGTTATCTTTAAATGAATATTTTACGTTAAAATAATCTTTGGATCAGGAATCCCTTCCATTGATATATAATTATCCCTCTGGTGAGGACCTTCAAGAATGATTTATAGAATGGGAGACCAAAATTCATATATCATGGAAGCACACAGTTTTCAATAAATGTATCTTATGTTATTTCTCCATACATGTAATGAACAAATTCAACATTATAGCTCTTGATTTTATCTGGTTGTAAAGATTTCAAGAGATGAGGTGTATTAAAAAGTGAACGTATATTTATGTTTGAATTATTTGTTGTTAAATGTATTTAATAACCGAATAAATACCTCCGAAGAGGAAATTATCACCCAAAAAAAATGAACAAAATTAACTTTATGAATTTCTAGTTTTCCTCCACATTATCTTGGCTAGATGATTGAGCTGACTGTAGGAGCAGTTCTTTCATTTACCAATAGACAATGCCCTGAGGGGAGGAGAAAGGTACTACCGTAGCTATAGTTAAGCTCCGAGGTGCAAGATAGAGGGTATCAAACACCGGCAGAAGAAGAATTAGGTTTTTTATAAACCATATATGTCACCCGCTACAGGAACAATGACTCTTCTCGGCAAATCCCATTGTGCTGTAGGAACCTTTGAACATGAAATTTTGACTACGGGGATCAACAAAACAAGCTCCGAGACATAATAATAGAGGGGATAAAACGCAGGCTGAAGAAGAACTAGGTTTTTTTTTAAATCATATATGTGACCCGCTACGGCTAAAGATGACAAGGGGCTAGAGGGGCGTGATGTTGAACAGAAACCGGAGAATGTCGAGGGTCACGGGATAGTTTAACAGGGTCTCTCCCGTTCATGCCCACTATGTGGAAAAGTACAGAAGTACCTGTCAACTCATCTAAAGAGAAACACAAGATCAACGACGAAGGCAAAAGGAAGAAGCTTCCGTTTGAAGATAGGCAAAAGAAACCAATAACTTGGCTAGAGCCTAGAGGGGGGCGATGTTGAAGAGAATGCGGAGAATGTTGAGGGTGAAGCTGGCAGCACATCACAGGGAAAGTTGAACAGAATCTCACGTTCATGCCCACTATGTGGAAAAGTTCAGAAGTATCTGTCCATGCATCCGACAAGAAAACACAAGATCAACGACGAAGGCAAAAGGAAGAAGCTTCTGTTTGAAGCTAGACAAAAGAAACCAATAACTTGGAAAAACAAGGGGGAAAAACAGAAGAAGAGGAAGGACATGTTCATTGTGTGATGCCCCAAATATCCAGAGGCTGGATATCCATCTACCGAGTAAGCAAAAAACACAATGAGCCGAAAGGGGTAGAGATGAGAAAGGCCACTAAGGCCATGGATAAGAAGAAAGGGCTGAGTAAAGAAGGAAGCGGTGATATCATCAACAGATTCGAAAAGCATTTTAGATGCTTGGGAAAAGCCTCTAAAACGGCAAAGGCCAATTCCAGTATCATTGGACACATTGCTAATGAAAGAGGTGGCCTAACAAAGTTTTTCAACGAGCCGGAGCAAGGAGGTAGGCTTTATTTCCTGAATTTATTCCTTCTTTAGGGCTTTTATAGCATGGGAAGAGGGCATACCCATAGATCCTACCAAAGAACACGCCCAGAGGACTAACCTGGATGAGTATAGAGCCAAGTTGAAGATTGACGATGTTGTTCTGCCAGATCCTTCCACCATCAATGGCTGGCTGGACCAAACTGCAAAATGCCGATGGCAAAAGCTGTATTTTACAGACATTTCGGAATACCTTAGGTTAAAAACACCTCAGGAGCTGTATTACAGACACTGCAATGAGTATAAGCAGGGAAAAGCTTACAGGTCAGGTATAAAAGGAAATTGCATGAAGACATTTCATCGCAATATTGCGCTTCAAAATTATTCAAGCAATTCTGACAAAGATGATAGATCTGGGCAACTCCATTGTTGCTGAGGTGCCATTTCACAGTACACGAAACAAGCTGGCCAAGTCTCTTGGGTTCAAAGGTAAGTTTTGAAACTTTTTCAACTTTTCTTTACCATTCGTTTTTGCATTCAAATGTACACTTTTTGGTCATGTATATTTTCCTGTGCTTTGAAATGTACCTTTTTTTATAAGGTTCCTTTCGCTTTGTGTGCAGCCAAGATGGCCGACAAGATATACAAACGATTCCGGAACATCAGGACTGACTACCAGAAGCTAAGAGAGAGGGAGGCCAAGGACAGTGTGGCCCGGCTCCTCAAAACCCTTCAACCCCCTCCAACAGTAGAAGCTAAAGAGATACGCTTTCCTCAAGCCGTTCTTCCGGCACCCGCAGATGCCTACTCAGTGGGAATAACTTTCAGAAAATAAAGTGGCTGGCAAAATTTATGGGGCTACACTGCATCAACAAGAGCACATACTATAAAAATATCTAATGCATGTCCTGTAGAGGAGGAGTACAGAGGGAGACCCTAGCCAAACACTCTGGCAGACCTGTAGTCCTTTGTGGTGAATTATTACAAGTAAAATATAGATATATTTAATTTGATTTGATCTCATTTAAATATGTGATCAAGTGCTTTGTTATGAATATTTATGTACTACGATGTTATCCGTGATTCTATCTGAATAAAGATTTATTTCAACAACAACAACAACAACAAAAAAATCACAAGTAGTAGATTTGTTGTGTTCCACAAGTGATTGGCTTTCGAATTTCTAATTCTGATTTTGATAAACACCGGCATAAAAGAAGAAACTCTTTCTAATTGAAAATTATGGAGATAGAACCCCTCCAAAATACTAGGGTAACAACCAACACTGGGCGCCCCATAGAGGAGAGGGGTGGGCATTTCATTGTCATTTGAAGTACACAGACTTAAAATTTATTATGCAATAAAAACTTTCTATCTCTTTAAATTGCTTTAGGAGCCTTTTTGGGTGTATACATGGAGAAGGCATTGATACAAACATTACAAAAATAAACTGTAGAATCACAGAATATATCAGAATTCATTTCGATCAGCAAATTACTTCCCAAACACTTCAGAGGAAACAGGTAGTGTAAAGGAGCTCCATTGGTTACCTATTCCCGCACGCATCCACTACAAAGTTATCCTGCTCACATTTAAAGCAATCCATGGCCTTGCTCCTACTTACCTATCCGAGTTGATAGCCCAATATCTACCAACCAGATCGCTCAGATCTGCCTCGCAAAATCTGCTGTAGTAATAAATAGAAGCAGAACCAAAACTTTCGGTGACAGGTCATTTGAATGTGCTGCACCAACCCTTTGGAACTCTCTTCCTAGCACTCTACGTGCTCAATCAGACAAAGACATGTTCCAGAAAGAGCTCAAGACATATTTGTTTAACATTTCCTTTTAATTTTGTACTGGTTCCAAAGGGTTGGTGCAGCACATACCATCTTTGTGACTGACTGAATGCTGATGTTTATTTATCTATTCATATTTATATTGTTGTATAATTATAATCATTTTCAAATATTACATGTATCACCTTTAACTCTTATCGTGCCAAGAACACTGTTCTGTGCAGGCGCTGGCGTGCCACGCACACATAATCGGGTTTCTGTTGACTTGCCATGCACACATAAACTCTCATCCGCTCGCGTGCCACGGACACATTTTCGTGCATAAGTACACAAGCTAATTGTTTATGCCTATTGTGCGATGCGCATTGTGTGCACGCATGAATGCTTACTGTATTTGTGGAGGGGGGTTAATTGTTGATTTGATTTTGTGTGCTTCACATATACCGTTACATTGGATTTTCCTGAGAAAATTGCGATATTTTATCATCAAATTTGTCAGTTTTGATCATGGCCCCTCAGATTGTGTGCGGGAAATGAGACAACGGATTGGTTTGACAACTCACTGATAGTGCTTATTTACTTTACCAAAATTACAGACTCATGAAATGATATTGGTATCAACAGAAAGAGGGTTAAATTTCTTACAACTTTAACGTACAGTTCTTTTTTATACAATATACAGATGAGATGTTATAGTGGATCAAACATAGTAACAATTTAAACTACACGCACTTGAACCAACCCTAAATTAACTTGGCACACAGGAGATTAGTAGCGGGCACAATAGGGATTAGCACTGTGGCACTGGGTGAATTGCATAGGGGCAGCTTAAGAGTTAATAGAAGCTACTTTCGATTTTTCTAATGTATAACGTATGCCTACTTGTAAGTTTTGATTATAATTATATGTAATTATTTCTATATATGTCTTTATTTCTATTGTCTTCTACATTTGTAAAGCGCATTGGTATTACCTTCGGTAATTAAATGCGCTATATAAGAGCTAACTATTATTATTATTATTAAGGTGCTAAGGTGGTTAGGCTGGCGGCCTCATGAATAAACATGATTACATGAAACACACTCGGTAAAGTCCAAGGAGCATGAAACGTGAACTTGACAAGATGCAAGACACTGCTAGCTCCTTGCAGAAAAATACATAAAAGAAGACACACAGATTTCGGAAAAAAGTAGACACCTTGGAGACGGTAGTAAAGTCCCTAAAAGAGAAACATCAGTGTCGGAGAATGGAGCTTCATGCAATGTCCCAGCTGAATTGATGAAGCGCCTTGTAAAGGCAAAAGACAAAGCCGGCCCGAGCAAGGAAAAGTACCCAGCTGCACTTTGTGCATTTGCCTTAACTCTCAACTTTTACTCGGCAAAGGCATATCGTTTTGTTAGAAAGACCTTTGACTTACAGCTACCTCACCCTTTCGTGATACGAAAGTGGTATAGCACAATTGACGGGCAGCCAGGATTCACACCTGAAGCATTCACCTCGCTTGAAGCTCAGGCAAAGGAGGCGAAAGATTTTTGTTACAAAACAAAACTAAAAACAATTTACTAAATAAAAGGAAATGATCTAGGGCGAAGGATAAACTCTTCACAGAAACATGGTAGAATTAGCTATGCCTTGAGGACTAAAGAGAACTGCCTAAATGTTGAAAGGGCAAGACTTAAAAAATGGAGAAAAAAACACCTTGAATGTAATAGCACAAGCACTGACAGAGTGGCATCAACTTAAGTCTTTGCATGTTAGAGCACTGTTACCTCACAATTTTTGTTGATAAATATGTTCAAAATAAGTATAGTGGACCCTCATTAAAAACAACATGGTTATAACAAACAAATTACAAGATAGTTTCACCATTCCTACTTTTATATTTTATCAACTTTTAGCCCAGATTCTAAGGTTTCACACAAGGAAGCCTATTTTCTCGGTCCCAGGACTCTCCTGTAAGGTTCCACTGTAAAAGCTATTAAACAAATAAAATCAATCTCTATGTATTTTTTCTAACAATGTGCTCATAAATTCATAAAATTAGTGCAATGACATGTTAACCCATATAGTTGCTACACAGAAGCAAATTCTTTTGATGGGCATAAGGATTAGCTCCAGGAGAGTAGCTGAAGAAACTTGGACTGGTATACCTGTAGCTAGTGAGTTTGCAGGCTACATGAAGGCTCACTCATATACATGTGCATGTATGATGCGATAAGCCACTACGTTTTGTTTTCAAACGATATTTGCAATATTACGCACTTAACATTTCTGGATTTCATAATCCTCAGATAAGTACGCATAGGACCATTGTTGTTCTAGTGCAGCAATACCCTTTTTATCCCACTCCACGTACATGTTTTAAACCAAAAACACCACCATTGTTTCTTGCATCATGTGATAGCTTAGCCTCTAGTAGGCCAAATTGAAATGAAGATGGCCATGGACTGATTTCTTCCATCTTCCATTATTCACTTCTGTATCAAACATTATTCTCTTGAAATCTGCCAAACACCAATTTGGTCTTGTTCAATCTTCCTCAATAAGAAAGCAATGAGGAGAAAAACAGAAGGGATAAAGTTATGACTACAAGCAGAATGTAAATCTAAACAGATGAACCACCTTCTATTTCTATTTTCTTACTACTTCTGACACGCTCAGAGGTGATAGTGAGCACTAAAAAAAAAATTAAAAATTTCCCTCAACCGTCCTTCCCTTGAGTTTAAAAAAAAGGATCTGGGGGGAAAAAATGTCATCTATAACATTCCCCCCTTTTTGAGTAGGAAAATTGGGGAAAAATTCGAATAAATAGGGAAAATATGGGGAAAATCCAGAAAATAGGGGTAAAATCTGGAAAAAATATTTAAACATTATCAGACCTGCAAGCTGCCAGGATGACAAGGCATGTTGAATGTTATACCATTGTGTTTGCAAACCTGATATTCCCCACTTTAACATTGCAAATTCATGAGTACCGGTAACTCACATTTTACAATTACATGTACAAACACATATCCGGTTGTTACACAGAAACATATACCGAAACTGAAAAAAAGGTCATCACTGTAGCATAGATTTACAAGGGCGAAAGACTCAAATACACCTGTACATGTGAGCCCGAAAATCGTAAGGGAGACAGAGGGAGGTATAAATTTAGAATTGAACTGAATTCAGGGGTGATAGTGAGTATAAAAATTAAAAAAGGATTTGGGGAGAAAAAATGGTGTCTAACAAAATTTCCCCCCTTTCGAGTAAGAATATTGGGGGAAAATAAATAAATCAGAAAACCGATTTAAATCAGGTAATTATCAGGCCTGCTGAATATAACATTTTAGAAGTTTATGATACAACAGATTCATGCAGGAGATAAATACTTCAGTAGAGCCTTGGTCATGAACCCCACTCTGCTGTCTCTGTGAAGCATTCGCTGGAGGGAGGGATCATGGACGGTGGAAGGTCCGGGATGTTCTGCAACTCTGGAGGGAGACTGAACTCCATGTCCTTGAAGACTGCCGATCCACCCGATGGATGCACTCCCTCTGATGATGATGTTGATGATGATGTGGTATCTTTGTTCTTCTTCCTCTTGCTCCTCTTGGCAAGCCAGTCATCCAGGCTTGGCTCTGGCAGGTCGGCTGCAAGATCCTCTGCTGCCTGGGCTGCAAGTTTCTTGGCTTCGATTTCTTTATGAAGGCAAGCAAAATTCAACATGATGACATTTTTCCTCTTCATTACAAAATTTAGTGACTGGAAATATATCACATCATCAGTATGATTGGGGAAAAGGAAAGAGATCCTTTTCTACAATATATGTTTGTGTCATAGCTAGATCCAACATCACTTTACAGACAATAATTGTGTTTTCTTTATTTCTAAATACACAATAACATTATTTAAAAAACAAGAATAAAGGGAAGTATCAAACATATCAAAATTTATTATAAAAAATCCAAAAAAAAAAGAAAATCAACTTTCAATTATACATGACGGCAAGTAAATTTGAACATAATTGATGAAATTTTTCTCTTCAGTACAAAATTTAGTGACTGGAAATATATCACATCATCAGTATGTTTGGGAAAAAAGGAAAGAGATCCTTTTCTACCGATGTGGTTGTGTCAAAGCTAGATCCAACATCACTTGAAATTTAATGAGACAATGGGATCATAAAAACATAAAAAACCTATTCATATACAAATCATTAATTTAAAAAAAGGAGTATCCAACTGCTTATTCAATTTCCACTTTATTCTGTACACAAAAAGGTATCAAAATCAATGGGCAAATAAACTTGTATGAGTGTTATAAATGCAAGTTGTGGTACTATTAAATCTATTGGTAAAGAGTACACCCATCCAATCCGATACAAAAGTCTTTGTTATCTATAGTACCTTTTCCTTGCAGGTACAAAGCACTGCATACATTACTCAACACGTTTTCGTTGCAGACTTACTTTCTAGCAGCTCACGTTCCTTCTCCGGAGTCAAATGCGAATATCTACAACTCCCTTCAAAGGTACAGAAACCTATAAAAACAAAACAAACAAATCAACATGAATGTAGCAACTACATGTACATACCTTATGGTCAACAAATCAAGTTTTTAGTTTGAACAAAAAACAAACTTTGAACTAAAGCAACTTTGGCTAACAATTTTGACTACCGGTAGTCGTATGACTAATCATTTCCAAAACCTTACAGGACTATCATGTACCCCCAAAAAATATTTAATTTACTTCATTTTCTGGTTTTTCATTACATTCCTGCAAATCAGATTACATTTTCTAAACATAAAGTGCAAATTGAATAATATATGATATAGGAGAAGTGTTGCGGTCTAGTGGATAAGTCACCCAACTGCAGATCACAAGGTACAGGGTCCAAATGCTAGCTCAACAGTTACGTTCAAGTTCTGACACCAAATAACATGATCAAGTAACCAGGAGACATGTCGATAGCATTTTGCACAACTTTTCTTCCCTTAGTACTCTACACAACTGCTATTTTTTTACCGGTAGATCTGTACGTGTATATGCACCGGTCTGTCGCCCGATAGCAGGGGACAGGCGGGTACATCTATCAAAAACTACACAACACCATACACTTACCTGACTGCTTCAGCTTGAGGCATGCAATTTTAGCTTTCTCTTCAGACAAAATATCTTCTGGTTCTGAAATATGAAGAAAAATTGTGAGAAGATTACTGTGGCTGAAACTCTGAAAGGAAAGAAAAGTCATATTATTTAATGTTGTTTGCAATTAAAGGTGGAGTATACATTACAAAGAACACTGGTAGGAACTACAGTGGTAGGGAATATCTAAGTCATTATTTTGTCAAATAGATGGATACAAAAAATAAAGTAGGGTGTCTGATTGAGTTTATCTTTATCTTTTTTTTCTCAATCCCTGTTTTTTAAGGCTTCAAACTACAAAGGAAAACTAGACTTTAATTCGTCACGAAGACGAATAAGGTGGTCTGTTTAAGTCTTATGATAGATTTGAGAATGGGAGAAGTTATATAGACATGTAAATAATGATGATGATGATGATGATGATCTTGATAGTAATGGTGATGACGATGATGACGATGATAATGATAATGTTGATGATGACGATGATGATGTTGATGATCATGATCATGATCATGATCGTGAGCATGATCCTGACATCTGATTGAAAAAATGAGGGAGATGTAGATAGCATATAGTCTCAGCTACATTATACTAAAAAATCAACAAAAAACAAGCGGAAATAACGGCGATATTGCTCGCAAAAGACAGGAATGTAGAATCCAGATTTAAGAAAAGGTCATCTCCAATAAGTATTACAAGCAAAAAGTAATGGATCAAGTGATAATAGGGTAATAATAAATTAAATATAGTTGTTTATTACATTATTTGCGATTCTACGTGTTTTAATATTCAAATGAGATGGTACAGTGAAAGGTCAAAAAGAAAAAAAAGTGAAGAAAAAAAATTGTTGGAGACGCCCGGACTCGAACCAGGGACCTCGAGGTCGGAAGTCAAGTGCGTTACCGATATACCAAAACATTTCACATAGAGATTACACGTAAACGGCAAATGAAATTCTCAAATCCCACTTTGTAAGTGAAATATGAGCATGATCCCGGCATCTGATCGAAAAATAAAGGCCACACTTGTGATAGCTTATTGTCTCAGCTACAACATATTCAAAGCTCAGCGTAAACAAAGATAAAACGACGGAGATATTGCTCGCGAAAGACGAAAATGTAGAATCCAGTTTTGAGAAAAAGTCATGTCCCATAGAGAATACACGCAAAATGTGAAAAATTGACATGCCTCCTTTAATCTTAAAAATATGCCATGATGCCTTTGTCAAAATGAAATATCGTGATGACTGCATTTGTAGAGAATATTCTCAATTAGAACATCTCAAAATTTGAAACAAAATTGATCAATATTTACAGAGATACAATCAATTTTCCAAAAATCTGCTGACGTCATAATATGCAAATTGAAATTTTGAGTTCGGAGGCCATTATGATGACGTCATGAGTTAATTGAGGGTCAAATGAGACATGAAATCATACCTCCAACTCATAATCTATTTAAATATGAAAGAAATTGGGGGTTATCTATCAATTCTGAAGAGTTAAAATGAATTTTGTATAGGCATGTTTTTGCCCATGTATTGTGGATACAGATAGCGCAGGTCGGCGCGTGCGTTCAACTTTGACAGCCGCTAATTGCGGTATTACTGGTCGGAAAAAGGTAAACAAGGTATCAAAATGCTTGGAAAAATGTAATAAATATGATAACAGAAAAAATTTGGCGATTCTATGTTGCAAAATGCCAGGACGCGCGGATACGCGCAGAAACGCGCGCGCAAATTTTGAAAATGCTTAAAATGGCCTGAAACGTATGCAAAATTAATTTGGAACGAATTTGACCATTTTAAAATTTTAATGCGCGCGTACGTGCGCGTCGAGGTGCGCGCGCAAAATTTTTTGACATTTTTCGTTGACCTTTGACCTGAAGTTGATGTATACCAAATATGGTTGATTTTTGATGACTCGTTATCGAGATATGATACTGACCTGATTTTTACAAAATGGCGCCTGGATGACGTCACGATGACCCCATGAACTTGAAAAAGTTAATTAGACTTGAAATCATAGGGCTTGATGACTGACAGAAATTCAAAGGAAATTGACCATGTCGATTTCGAGTAAACGTGTGCACAAAAAAGTGTACGGAAGAAATAAAAATAAAGAAATAAAGAATAAAGAATAAAGAATAAAGAAAGAAAATTCTAGCGAAATCAATAGCTGATCTGTCGTTGACAGACCACCTAATAAAGAAATAAAGAATAAAGAATAAAGAATAAAGAAAGAAAATTCTAGCGAAATCAATAGGTGATCTGTCGTTGACAGACCACCTAATAAGAGGGATTAAAAAAGAGAGAGAGAAGAACTACAAGGGAAATTAGGGATTAAGAAAAAAGATAAGGTACAGCAGGGACAGATCCAGGGGGGCACAGGGGGCACATGCACCCCCCTGACCAAAAAAAGAATGTATTAGTGTGCACTACCCCCCCCCCCCCCCCCCCTCCCACTGAGCGAAATTGCGGCCGGCGCGATTTTCAAATTTTCGGGAGCAAAAAAAAATATATATATATATGTGTCCTCTTTGCCCCCCCCCCCCCCCCCCCCCCCCCCCCCACGCTGTCATGTGTCTTCTGCCCCAGCTCCACCATTCTGGTAAGAAATTTGCTTTTATTGGTTATTTATACCTCCGATTTTTAAATTCAGGAGGTAATTAGGACTACAAGTATAATAAATTTATCAAAGCCACTGTCCAATATTGGCAGAGCTACCAAGTATCACGCATTTCGAGGGTCTGAAAATGCTCTTACGCACGACGCGCGCACTAGCTTTTTAAAAAACGTGATACCTTATACGTGTGTTATACCCTCGCATGCGCGCTTGCGTGCCGAGCTTTGAACTTGGTGTCTCTGTATTGGTCGGGTGTGGGAAAGAGTGATTTTTTACACATTTTAGATGTTGTTTACCTACCTCTCCGTGGGACCCTATGCCTATCATGCCTATGCAGCTATGGGAGCAAATTAAGGCTCCCTCGAATATTACATCATAAAAAACATTTCGAGGGAGCCTTAAGGCTACTCAGAATAATACATTTAAAATTTTAAGACTGTTTTAGTGGCTGTATCAAAAGACACAGTCCCCCGAAATATGGGCAATATTCATCCAATTTTTGTCAGAATTTTTTGTGTGTGAATTAAAAAAACAATTTTTTGTTCATGATTTCAAATTCAATTTCTAGATTCTAGAAAATTCTAGAATCATAATTCATATGCAAACAATATGGAATGAATGAATACACATGTGAACTATGTGTTGTACAAGGTTATCACAGATAACACCATGGCATTGATATGAGAGGCAAAAATGCAAATGTTAGAATTACAGAAGACTGACTAGACACTGAATGCAACGTGCACGTGGGTGATCGTGCAAACGGACACGAGACGCCGCACCACGCCACGCCGCTCGACACCCGGCCCACTCGATGACCACATGCAGACGAAATACCTACCTCTAAAAAGAGAGTAATGCAGCTTTCGAAGTCGGTCGTGAACAACTCCATTGAGGTGTTTCTTTCTATTCTGTGAGTTGTCTGCGAAAGTTTTGTCACAGTAGTCACAATAGTATCTTTTCCCCATTTTATTGAACGGCCAAGGCCAAGCAGGAGACCTTCAAGACGAAGATTGCATTGCATTGATGATTAAAATTGCATCGGTCCTTGAATGGTCTATGGAACGCGGAATGTGTGGCCGCCCCAGCGTGCGCGTGCGCCAAATCGACACGAGTCTACGTTTTTGTTTTGTTTTTTGTTAATTTTTTTTATAATTGTTTGTAATGTATGGTCTGGCGCTCGTGGGCGTCGTGTCATCTCTATTTAATAGGACGATACCCCTCAAAGTTTCGGTTAGAAAAATCCATAAACAGGAAGACCATTTTCAGTTTGGCCCATCATTTTTCATAGACTAGTTTCACGAATTGACTACAGGGGGGCAAATTTCACTTTGGTGTTCGGGGAGTATAGTTGGGAGGAGTGTTCACAAATAAATGGATTTAGGCGGCCCAGCAGCAGAACCCGTTAAATCATTCATCCTTAAACATAAAAATCTTTAAGACAGTAATGATCGAGGGCAGATGTAACATAACATATCTCCATTCACATTCAGTCCCCAAATTAAGTTGTACATGTTTTTTTAAATTTGTCTGGTTGCTTCTGTTTCTGTTTCTGTTTTGATCCTAGTCCTGATCCTCAAGAGGGATATTAAGATGACCAATAAGAACGTTATCGTTCGAGAGAGAGTGTTTGTCGCTTCTAGAACATTTTAGAATTGAGTCCCATCACATTGCAGTTGTGGGGAGGGACTATGATTGTATTACCCCCTTGGATGGCTTCCCAGAGTCTGGTTTTGAAGGTTTCAACTGAGTCGCAGGCAAAGATGCTGGGGGAAAGTAAATTCCAGGCCCGTATGGTTCTTGGAAAGTTGCCGCTCCCTCCCCCCCCCCCCCCGCGATTTCCGCTCCAAGTGAAATCAATAAATAAAGATTCAACTTCTTTAAAAAAGAATAAAAGTGTGTTTTTTAAGAATAGAGAGTAAGTAAATTAATTGTTGTAATCCTAAGGATTTTACTTGTTCAATCTTACCAATGGTATTTAAATCTCACATTGATCACATTATTAATGAACATAGTTTTCATTTTTGTATTTGGGTGTAAATTTCAATTCAAAATTGTCTTTTTATTGCACTGAAAATTGTACACCCAAAGAATAATTGTGAGATGTTTAACGAGCTAAACTAAAATGTATGGCGGGTGTGCTTTATATTGATGTAACACCAGGTTCGGGCTTATCAATACGCATACAGTAAACAAAGGGATATCAAGACAGCAATAATTGATTTCCTGTTCCACCTTTAATTTGCTTATCCGAAAGGTGGATAGAGCTAAGGAATGAGATATACTTTTACAGATAATAAAAAACAAATATAATAAACTTAAGGGCCCACTACGATTTATGTTATTATTGACAAATTAAGACCGGTCGTTTATATATTTTTTTAAAAAAAGAAAAAGAAGAAGATTGTCCGCTCATCAACGAATATGGAATGTTGCAATCAAATCGCGTATTGTTTGGGCGCGTACGCAGGGGGGGGGGGGGGGGGGTTAAACCCAAAGACGTTTAAATATAATTACACCCCCCCCCCCCCCTTGAGTTTTTTTAATGTGTATGTTTTTCGGAAACCCCCCCCCCCCCTTTGAGTGTTTTTGTTTTTATTATTATTATTTTTTTTCATAAATAAAAAATAAAAAATATAAACAAACCTAATGGATGACCTAAAAAAGATGACCCCCCCCCCCAAACGGAATGGATTGTCGATCGATCAAATTTTCAAATTTCGGGACCAAAACAAATATATATATATAAATATATATATATATATATATATATATATATATATATGTCCTCTTACTCCCCCCCCCCCCCCCCGCTTATTCAGCGGCTGACTGAGTCGTTGCGAAATTTTTGGGACAAAAAAAAAAAAAAAAATGTCCTCTTACCCCACTCCCCCCCCCCCCCCCCCCCCCCCCCCCCCCTTGAAAAAAAACCTGACCAGACCAACGCCAGAGTTCATATATTAGTTTGGATCAGGCGCGTACGCAGGGGGGTGGATTTTTTTTTTTTTTTAATTATTAAAAAAAAAAAAAAAAAAAAAAATTATGCCCATGGCTGACCTAAAAAAGGTGACCTTACCCCCGCCCCCAACAAAGAAAAATGTCAAATTTCCAAATTTCGAGACTAAAAAAATTAAAATAAAAGTGTCCTCTTACCCCCTTACACCTGCTCCATGATAAAATAGAATCCCATTATCCCATTACTTTTTATTATAAACATTTGACTATTTAATACCCCCCCCCCCCCAAATATTTAGATTCAAGGATCGAACCACATTCCTATAGGCCCAAACCCCCAGTCACTTGCACTCTCCATTACCACTCCCCATAATATCATAGCAACCCTAGCTGACCATTAACCAATCAAAGCATTTCTATTACTTATTCCCAAATGTTAACGCCCCTATTATAGAACTTGATTATAAGGGAGGCTTCTCAACTTTGAGACAGACTACAGAGACTAGAGAGAGAGATAATATCTTGCATCTCGAATTCTAGAGTCGTCTACTATAGAGACTCATTGTGTTATGTATTGAATAATGCTTCTGAAATTGTAAACAAGAACGATTACAAGTCTCTTTATTTATGCTCCTGGCCTCCTCGCCGATCCCAGTATATCCCCACACAGTAGAGAGAGAGGGGAAAAGAATCGGAGAGAGATGAGAGAGAGAGGGGGGGGGGGGGCAACTGTGCTGAGGGAACGTTACACGTTATGGGTTTTACACCCCAAAAAACAAACAAAAAAGTTTTTTATTTTTGTTTAAAAGTTTGTTGAAGGTTAATGAAAAAACTGCGTAATTTTAACGAAATGCTACTTATTATATTCTTTCTACTGTATACTAACCCTCTAGCTAACATGAACAAAAATTCCTTTAAACAATATCAAATCACAAGGATATTTAGAGGGTATCTGCACTGTGCGACACAATAATCAATCAATCTTAGTAAAATCATGGAGTTACTCTCTCTCTCTCTCTCTCTCTCTCTCCTCCTCCTTCTTATATTTTCCTCCCCTATATAGAGTAACCCCCCCCCCCCACACCCACCTCTATCCCGATCTCCGTTAACATTTCCCCCTTTCTCTCCCCTATCAGCTCTCTTTTTCTTTCTCTGCCTCTCTTTCGTTTATCTCTCACCATCTCTCTCTCTCTCTCTCTCTCTTTCTGTAACTTATTTCGCTATTGTGCTTTCTTAATTGTCTCTGGAGCCTTTTGACAAGTTTTCTGATGGTTCACGAGACTGGTGATTTCGGTCTCGAGGCCTTCTGTCAAATTTCCTAATTTTAGAGGGTTCATGAGACAGACAGCCCACTAAACCCTAGTCTAGTTCTGGACCCTTTTATTGAATTAATGTCACTAAAGATCTCGCCATCACTCGGCTTAAATAGTCGGCGAATAAAAAAAAAATCAATAAAAGCGTCCAGAACTAGACTAACTAAACCCACATTGTTGGGCTCATGGACGTTCCAGGAATATTCTAGGTGGGTCGCGAGACCGATCGATAACGCCTTCATTTCTGAGTTTTCCTTCCAAAATCCCCCTTGCGCATTTACTCTCTTCCGTTACGTAATCATATTTCTATTCACATTCTCTGTTTCAATCTTTCCTTAGCCTCTGATATGCTCTTTTTATTATTCCATACACAGTTGAACAAACAAACACCCTTGGACGAAAAAAGAACCTCGACATTATTCAGGTGAGGGTTTGAGAGAGAGAAAGAGTGAGGGGAGAGAGGGGGAGGGAGCGAATAGCTGCTGCCAATAACAGCTGATTTAACTCGTAATGAGTTTGTTATAAAAGTATTATTTATAAAGCGGTTCCACTATAATTTGTTTCCCCTGTTCCCGTCTTTTCTTATTTTTTTTAGTATTTTCCCGATTGAAGGCTTTAACATTGATTTTCCCTTTGTCATTTTCTATCTTTGCTTTCTTTAAATTTCTTTGGGTTGTTATGTTGGTCTCACGGGACTTTGGGTCCTAAGGGGTACCGGTCTCGTGAACTACGGGGATGTCCCCATGAATGACAGGGGGACATCCCCATTAATGAGGGGAATGATGTGGTAACATTTTATATGAAAAGCAAAAAGGAATGTACAAAAGATGGCTACGAATCAAGCAGGAAAGCGCAAAATAAAACAACCAAAATGGGCAAAAGGAAAGAGAAAAGATTCATTAAGGGATATCGTGGCAAAAAGGGGAGAAATACATAGGCCTAGTATGCCTAATGTTATGTTACTAAACAGATAAACATACGAACACATTATATATTTTGTTTAAAGAAGCATCATTGCTTTATTAAGATCACTTCTTTTCAATGTGTTTAAAACATTACAATGCTGCATTTACGTTTCAAGTCATAAAACACTTATAACTTAACAATTTAATTAGAATTGCTTTATCAACGTGACGAAGAACGCCCCTCTTTTAATGTATTCGTCGTAATACAATACTGTAGATTTACTTTACACCAAATCCACGTTATCGAACATAACCAGAAGTGTTTAAACTAGCACTTTTGTTTCTATTTGATGCAAAAAGACATATGAATACTGATTTATTTTTTTATTTTTAGTAGACCACCAACGTTTGTGCCTATTCATATATAAACTTAGGATAGTTCAAACTAGAATAAAATACAAAATGTATTTTTATGAATGCATACAGGCGAGTACGCACCACGCAGGATTTTTTCGAAGGGGTTTTTAAAATTCGAAAATCACGCCGAAAATTTCGCAACGACTCAGCCAGTCGCTGAATAAGAGGTGGGGGGGGGGGGGGGAGGGGTAAGAGGACATTTTTTTATTGGTCCCAAATATTTCGCAACGAATCAGCCAGCCAGCCACTGAATAAGCGGGAGCGGGGGGGGGGGGGGGGGGGGGTGGTAAGAGGTCATATTTTTTGTTGTCACAAAATTTGAAATTTTGGCCGATCGATATTTCGTTTCGTTGGGGGGGGGGGTAAGGTTACCTTCTTTGGTCACCCATTACCACAATTTTTTATTTTTTTGTAATCAAAACAAATTGAGGGGGAGTTTTCCTCCAGAACACAAAAAAAAAAAGTTTGAAGGGGCGGGGGGCTCGACCCCAACCCCCCCCCCCCCCCCCCCCCCCCCCTGCGTACGCGCCTGAATGTATACATATATTTATATGAACTCAAGAGAAATGGAGCTATTTTATTAACATCTCTGAATTAAGTGTACATTCGTTACTTGTTCAATTAAGTTTAAAAACAAAATAATAGAACAAACCTCCCTGTTTATCCACTCCCGAAGAAAAATAAGAACATGTTCCTTTTTGTAATTCAGATGGCTGTCGATGGCATTGCCGTTAGTTAAAATCCGTTTTGGATCACTATATAGCGGCCAAATTATTTATCCCTTTCCTATTTATACGATTTCTGCTTTCTTCTTTTTAATATTCATTCAGATTAAGGCAACGTTAAAGTGTTTAAATGCAGTTAATAATCAACATCGAATATATACATTAGTAAAATAATGAAGAAGTATAAATAGGAGGTTTATGAAAAGCTGAACAAAAATGTACATTCCGTAAACTTTTGACATAAGGAAAGTTATTTACAAGATACAAAAATCAACGTTTACACATTTCAAAAGAATTTATATTTTCAAACATGATACCCTATTTCAGCATAAAGATTTCTTAGTAAAAGAACAACATTAGAGAGAACGATATTACATCAACACCGACGAAGGTACTATTTTACTGATTTCGACTTGCTTCTACAAATATCTAGCCGTGTAAAATAAGCTTTAAAGGATATCAAAATTACCAGTCAAACGAACACGAGATAAAACTTAAATTGTCTCATATTATGAAATTTGTATATACTTTAAAAAAATATAATTTCTCTCAAAGTGTGTGAAGTAAACGGACACAAAAAAGGGATATTGGAAGGGGAACAATTCCTCTTTTATCAAATAAATGACCCCTTAGCCTGGAAATTTTGATAATCTAGTTTTCATTTTTGGGGTTTTGTTATTGCGTTATTAGCGCCGCTGTCATCTGATTCTTTCATGCACACACCGCCAATGGTGAGGGAGTGCAAATTCACTATATTTTTTTAAAAGCTACTTTCAACAAAAAAAAATGTATGCATAATTTAACATTCGAACACTCTTCTTTTTTCCCCACCCAACAAAAAAGAGATACAATTTTTAAGGATTTTTTTTTTTTCAAAAGTTTTTTTGAACCGATTCATGAAATTTATACAATTTAGGATTAACCTCCAACCACTCGTATTTTTCCAACATCCAAAAAAAGGAGATCAAGAAATTTCGGTTTGCACCCAGTAAATGATTAATTAAATTAAGTACCAAAACAAATCGTAGAACCATATGTTTACTGGGTGCAAGCCGAAATTTCTTTACATTTTTAAATTAGTTCGAGGAAGCCTAATTATAACCCCCCAAAAAGATATAATATTCAAGGAATTTGCGACACTTTTAATCTTAGTGCTTTATTTGGTTTCTTCAAACAAACCTTCAAAATTTCAACCATCAAATATTGTACTGTACAATTGGAGTAAATTTGCAAACATAGCAGAAGGGTGTTGTTTCGTTAAATCATATTTTTTATTGTGAAATACAAAAATAAAAACAAGCTTCAACTTCAAATGGGTAGACAAATCAAATAACATTAATTTCTTCTAATCTAAAAACAATTTTAGTTTCATGATCATGTTCCTTCTTCATATAGACTATTTGTTTATTTTGTCGTTTCTTAAACCTTGATGCCTTCTGTTTCATTTTCATATACGTCTTATCTTTCTTCTCGTTCTTCTCCTCCTCTCATCAATCCTCCTGTCACTTTTTTCTTTCATTCTCCTTCTTTTACTTCTTCCTCCTTTTCTTTCCATTCTCTCTAGTACATGATTTCCCTCCTCTTCCATCTTTTCCTGTCAATAGTTTGTTTCACCTCCTTTGCAGCAATTCAATTTTTTGTTCACAATTTTAATACAAAGTACTGATGTTTAAATACAGCATCCGTGATCCTTATCAGATAAAAACCATATAGTAATATATACAAAAGTAAGTAATGAATCACGATGAACATTAATACATAAATGAACTTTGCTAGGCCTATAATGAATTTATGTATGTCACCAACAAAAAAAAGGTTTATACGCTAAAGTACATGAACCAAATTAAGATCCTAGAATGGAGTAGGAGATTTATTTAAAAAGTCTGATTCCTGTATTTTTTAACAAAATCAATTTTCAAGGTGCATAAGAAGGACAAAAGTCTTAGCTAATTATTTGAAATAAAGCCACATCGTGTTGGTGAGATATGACTAAGAAATAGCTACGCGATGCACAAGGCAAGCAGACGGACAAAATAGCGAACAAAATTAATGAATAAAAGTCGTGATCGCTAGAACATAAATGTAGAAACACAACATCTTTCCCTATTCTTACCAAATGCAGCGGTGTTCTTAAACACAATAAATCCTTACTCACATCTATACTTAACCAATCAATTTCTAGATTAACTACTAACTTCCCAATCATGCTATGATCTGTTTAATAATAGTGCAAACGAGATTGATAAACATAAACAAAGACTTGAATGTGACAAAGTAAGGGGACTACTGTTTTCCGTTGTCATCGACGAAATCATCGTTACTTCCGCCCTTAGTTGACCGGGGCCCTCCGGCTGATCGACTTTCGCGTCCTCTTCTTTGCAACCCATCCAGTCGACCCCGAAGTTTCGGGGGAAACCGAGATCGACTTGCCCTCGAGACTCGTCGAATTGCCAGTAGCGACGATGGCGAATAAAGTAGGTATTCCATGAATAACCTGGTGAGGGTATAAGAGAGAAGAGAACACAAATCTTCAAAAGCTATAACTCATATTTTTGAAAGTCTTTTACCGGTTGGATAGAGCGAAAATCTATTTAATGAGACTGGTCACGGTAAAAATTGAAAGATGCTATCAAAAAGAACAGTCGGGAAATGCAGTTTATCACAAAAAAGATGTCAGCGTTTTTACGCTCATGTCAGAGTTGTAGATAAAAGAGAAAGTTGTAGGTTTGTTATGGACATTTTTTTTTCAGAACCAAAAACAACATGGTTTGGTTTTCCGTCCTTTCAGTCTTTAAGCTCCTTTTTCATTCAATTTTTACCGGAATACTTGCCTCTACAAGTACCTGCTTAACTTTCGTTTAAATAACAATACTGTTCATTTTGTATTATTTTCGGGGATCGCCACTAGCCCACTACTATATTCATCTTTCTAGTTGTTTGTTATACAATTCTTTCTTCACTTTGATACTGACCATCGTAATGTCTGAATACTGCATCAATATTGATCGGTACTCCCAGCCAGTTTTCCTTGATCAGTTTTGGATATCCTTTATCCATTCGGTGATCGAACTCATCATACCGATAGTAGACATCTCCTTTGAAGAAGTACGTCTTGCCGGTTTGTCCCCACGGTAAAGCTCCGTCGATATCGGCGGGTAATCCGAGTTCACGGAGCGGACGCGGATAATCAGGGTCCATGTCGACTCCTTCGTATACCCAATAATGTGAACCTTTGTAGAATGTAATAATAATAATAATAACAATAATATTTAAGATTTATATAGCGCTGGTATACAAATACAGTTTCTTAGCGCTTTACAAAACAAATGAAATGAAAAGTATGGTTAAACTAAATATGTAATAAGGATCAACAAGAAACGTGAAATAAACGTTATGCTTAATTTGGACGAATTACTTGACTAACAATGTATAACAATAACATGATAATGAAAAATGAAAATGTAAATACAATAATTAAGTAACATTAATGAAACTGCAATAATTATGTACATTAGATAATGAATAAATTACAAGAAGATACGACATATGGCTATAAATACGGTATGATGATGGGAAATTACTTTGTGTTGAATAGATAAGTCTTAAGTCTATGTTTAAAAGTGTTAAGAGTTGGGGATTCACGGACAGAGATATACAGGGTATATATTATGTAACAGGACTGTTTCAAGGTAGATTTCTGGCACTTTGAACTTTCCATCAACTCCTTATAACGAGTTGGACAAAAGGCCTACGTCTTTTACACGAACCTACCAAATATTTGTCCAATGGTAAGAAATAAATTAAATCAACTTTTCAAAAGTTGTTATGCATTCATTATCTATTTCTATGTTAGAAGACACTAAGGAGGAAGATAAGTCATAAATGAAATGAATGTATATGTTGTTATTTGTATTTTAAAGCGATCCCTAATATCTGTTTTACAATTAAAAGACAATAAATCTTTACAATTCGTCGCTGTTTTCACGAAGTGACGGTAGTGAAAAAAAATTGCATTCACTTTGCGTTACGATTTTCCTCACTACCGTCACTTCGTGAAAACAAGGACGAATTGACTTGAGAGGGTTATTCACACAATTTTGTGTGGTAACTGTTGCAACATAACGATATATTGAAGTAGATATAATTCTGTCAGAGTGATGTACCTTTTAGGAAGACTATTTTCCCATCGTGTCTCTCATACGAAGCATCTACCTTGGGCGGAAGACCGTGCCAGAACTGCCCCATCTCGACGGGATACCCTTCCAAAGGTTTGCCCTGCTCTCGCATCCTCCAGAAATTCTTACCCTGGAGAAAGAAAGCAAGAATGTACAGATTTTTACACCAATGACCGCACAATCATTTATTGAAGTACCGGAATTCCGGAATCACGAATAACGACACCAGCTAGGGCGAATGATTATCTGTTGACAACAATATTTGTCTCATTGTAATGTCTGAAATATTATTATCAACTTAATAAATTTATCAAGGTGTAAATATTAGTTAGCTTTTTAATTTAAGAGGACATTAATTTGTAAACAACCGTGATCAAGTACAAGACTGGAAAAAATTGCGGCATTTCTGAGTTTTTCGGGCTGGCAGTTTTTACAATTAAAGAAAACGTTTCAACAGAAAATGATTGGAATGATAAACTAAATGTGCCATAATCGACCAATGAAAAATATAATTTCTAACAAAAAAGAGAGAATTAGGTCTCGGGGGAAATGTCAACCTGAAACAGATTGCCCATTCCTGGCAAAATAATAGGAACTGGACTGTGGAATGTTTCCATTGTTATTTTGTTAGCCTATATTGCTTTTCTATTATGATGATGGTATTATTATATTGTAAATATCTGATTACTTTGTAAAACTTACAATATCAGCCTTGAGCTGCATGTCATGTTATTTTTTTATAATCTAATAAATCTAATAAAGTACCATCTTAAATGAACAAAAAAACAAAAAAAATGTTGGTTTGTTTAACTGAAAATTGTTGAATAATGATATCGTTTTGATATACATGTATATTATTTTGTTTACCTTGAATAGAAAGAGTTCGTTTCTAATGAACGCTACAGCATTGAAGCTTTTGCTGCATCTCTCCACTTCCGGATCCGGTGGACTGGGTTGGGGTCGTAGGGGTATAAACCTGTCACCTGGTCGAGGGCTTGAGTTAATACCTGTGGACATTTGGGAGGACAAAGTTATGGTTACTTATCAATTGTTTGTCTCAATTGTTTACATTTATATAAATGGTGGGATGCTGGGATATAGGTGACAATTACGACTACTCTGGTTCAGATGTAGATTCAGATTAAAAATACATTGGACTCTTTCTTAATAAAAATCAAATGATTACAAATTGAAATGCATGTTTAAAAACATGGAGCAAGGATTCGATATTCACTGGTTGAAAACACGGGACTATTGATGGAGTCGCAACACAACAAAGCCACAAACATAATGTGAGAAGTGACAAATTATTTGCGTTGCTTTGAATTCATTAATCTTCCTTTTTCTTAAACATTTATTTTGTATAAAAAATAAATATATTATATATAGATACTTATTAAAAGTTTAAAAAGAGAGATAAGAAAAAATATGTACAAAGTGGGAAATTATCACCAGTCTTTTTGAAAGGCATGTCTTCATATCCCACCGCTGCCACCTTACCAATGAAAGTGAATTTCCCATTGGATTTTGTTAACAGTTACAGTGCATTTAACCCTATTCTCTTTAGTAAAATATATCCTTGCCCAGGAGCGGTTCTAGGGGGGGGGGGAGGGGGCTTGTGAGTCTCAATGCCCCCCCCCCCCAACACGTTATTTTGGTTATAAATTGAGACGAGGCACATGTAAAAAATGAAAATAACAAACCAAAGCAAACCACCCCCCCCCTAAATTTTATTTTAATTCTAGAGCCGTGCCTTCTATATCCATCATCCAACCATAACTGTTAGTCAAACTTTTTCCCCATCTCCCGTTGCCCAGCAACTGTCTGTGCTCACCATAAATGGACTGTATCCCATGAAGATCATCGTAACCAAGACTAAACCCAGGATCATAGCCAACGTAGAAGGGCGCCATCAACGCATGGATGTCGGAAGAGTGCCCTAGTCCGAGGCTGTGGCCAAACTCGTGCGCTGCCACCATGAACAGATCGGTTTTATCATCTAAAAATATGAACAAAAACATTTCACATTTAGGAACAATATTATAAGGACTCTTAATCGTGGAGAATCTGAACCCCCTACAAATTCTATGAGAATTTCGTTCGAAAAAAGAAGCAAAATAAAACAAGATCAAAGGGGAAGAGAGAGAAAATGGATAATAGGTACTTTGATAGATAAAGAGATCAACAATTAATGGAGAAGAACTATTTTCCCCCTATAATTTGTTGTTGTATAAACGTTATGAAATATATGTATGTCACTTGCCCGACTAATAATAATAATGTTCAAAGAAATTACTGTATTATCCCGTCATTGATTTAAGTTGGATCAATGAATTATTTATCTTTCCATAGACTTTCAAAAATTACCTTCTAATATTTTCACCACAAAAAAAAAATTGAAAGCCTCGAGTTACATATTTCTAAATTTGTGGAAATGTTTAGGTTTGTTTACACTTTTGCCGCATGTTGTCCAATTTCAATTTCCATTTGAATGGAAATGACATAATTATTGATATTATATTATATCCTTGTATATGGGGAAATAGCTCACTCTGAATCTCAGTTGTCCAAGTGTAGCTCATGCTCTTTTTTTTAGGAGGGTTAAATTACTTTGGGGGGACGTCATAGAAATATCTTATGAGGTGGTGCCAAATATTAACGAACCACTGTTCTCCGAAAACAAATTGGGGATGCATTTCTTAACTAAAGAGAAGGTTGGGAATAGCATTTACCATCAGATAGGAAAACGCTGAATATTTCACTGTCGTCGAAATGGGCATCGCCTCCGATACTGCCCCCGGGGAAGTACGCGTGTGCCAGCGTACCACCGAGGCCATCAAAGGCGACACCGTCCCCGTGGTCGTATTCGGAGAATTGTATATGGATGTCGCCTGGTACGTCGAAAACGCGACGAAAGGTCAGCGGTGTCACGTCACTCCACACTTTAAAGGCCCGCTCGAAGGAATCAACGACTTCCGCTTCCGTGAGGTCGGGGGTGAAATTTAAAATTCTGGAATGGAAAAGTGAATAATTCATTTAATATTTCAAAGATCATGATTTGTATCATGGTCTGTATTCCGAATTTGATTTTAAAAATTAATATTAACTGAATCCATTCATTTCCTTCTCTCTTGTGTCAGGCATTGACGTTTAGTGTAAGTTCAAAGTTATCTTACTTGATTAAAAAGTATTCATTATATGTGGTTGTAAAGCACTATTCATACTTTCGAATCATTCAAAACTGAAGTAGGAAAGAGAGAAGGTGAGAGAGAGAGAGAGAGACAGAGACAGAGACAGAACAAATAGATCTTGAAGAGGTCTCACATCTTAAGACCTCTTACAATTTGTATTAATATTCTCTTGGTTATCTTTACCTATATGTAATTTCTTGATGATCCCACTTATCCCCAGAATCAGAGTATCTCCTAAACCGGGTTTGCCCCGGATCACCGTTCGGGATGACATCCGGCATACCGCACCGCGGATAAGACATTAACCGTCTGGTCTCCTCATCCATTTGACTGGTTTCTGGCAAACGGTAAAATTGTTGAAAATTTCGAATAGCTGTATGGTAATCTTCTAACCGTCGTATAGAACTGGCCTCCGGGTTAGCTTGTCCTATATAACCATATTTACGAAGATATGCCTGTACAAATGAAATCAATGAAAGAGATGAAAACATGAGAGAAAATAAGGTGTCAAAATAATTGCCCACAGTTTGAAGTAATGATTGAATAAGAAGATGAGTAGAACTTCAGGTAAGCATGTCTACAAATTATTAACATAAGATAGGACACAATATTAGACAAGCAACGTCAGGATAAAGTGCGCAGAATCTATTGAAATACCTTTTTAAAGGCTGATTGCTTTTGAAATAGGGCATAAACTTTTATACCTATATCGAGTAAAATTACCTACTATAATACATCATTTCCAAGTTAAAATACCCGGACTAACCACACATCGATTTTTACTTTTTGTGACACAGACGGCGTAGGGATCTTAATCCAGGTCACCATGACACCATCCATGGATGAATATTCAAATCAGATTTCACCCGTCTGTTACATCGAATTAACAAACACATTTAGTAGAACAGTTTCATAGCAGGGTGTAAGCGGTTGTATCCTTCCTTATTAACCTCAAAAACCGCTGAAATCAGTCAGCAAGTCGCGCGACCCCTCATGATATGTCATAAATTACACGTATGAAGTAGCTTAACCGCATTTAATTGGCTGAATGAAGGGAGTGATGATTATTAATAGCTTGGTAAGAAAGAGGAGGGAAATTGGTAGTGTCCCATTGGCTATAAAACAGAGTCTTGGCACAACACTTTAGCCAATACAACTACGTGAACACTTCCAGAGTGTTATAAAGTAACTCACAAAAGTCTCCCAAAAAGCATGTTCAGGTAGAAGAAGGTAAGAGGATTCCCCATTTCCAATCAAGTAGTTACGTTGTCAATTTGGTCCCTTAATTTAGGAGGGAAATTAGTAGTGTCCCATTAGCTATAAACCAGAGTCTTAGCACAACACTTTAGCCAATACAACTACACTTTGAAAAGGTTGGGCAATATTTTTCCAACACTTTGCCTAACGTTGTGCCAATAGTCAACCCAACCATCTATTGTGTAATATTTTGCCCAGCGGTATTGGTAAACGTAAGTACCTTACTTCACACGTGCATAATTTTTTTCGTATTTTGACCAAAATTTAGGCAAAATACGAAACAATTTGCCCAATAGATGGTTGGGTTGACTATGGCACAACGTTGGGCAATGTGTTGGAAAATATTGCCCAACTTTTTCACAGTGTACGTAAACAATTTCAAAATGGTCTAAAATAAATCACACGAGTCTCCCTAAAAGCATGTTCACGTATTAAAGAGAAGTAGAAGAAGGGAAAGAAATTCCCCTGTACATGTAGTCACGGTGTCAATTTGGTTGCTTGATGAATTATTTTCTTCCAGGCCTTTCTGATTGACGAATCAGATATCAGTTCAGACTTAAGACAATGAAAGGTAGAAATAAACATGAGTGATATTATATTTGGTTTTTTTTTTTTTAATTTGTTTAGGTCATTGTGGAAAGTAGTTTTTTAACGACAAGGCCATGTTAAGACAAAACTACAGATCTAAAAAATAAGTAAGAATAACTAATTCTAAAATCCTTAATCTGACAGTGATGTTATCATTGCATCAATCCTTTTGAAATACTTCGACACATTTCCTGAGTCTAGGGCAAAATATTGCTGAGGGAAATTGCTACTGGTAAGAACAATTATAGATTTTGCCTTTCAGTTCCGAGTATCAAACAATGGCATTAAAAGTGATTAAACTATATATTTAAAAAATAATCTAATATGACAGGATGATGTGTCCTCTCTGTTACAAGAAAGCCCTTGGCTAGATAATGCATTCAGTGAAATTAAATATACTCTTTAATATGAAACAAAGCTATGGAATATGTCTTACGTTAATAAGATATAAATATTCAAAGATGTCGACATGACAGATTCTCACATTTATTTTTGTCGATGGAGTTAATTAAACACCAGATAAAATAAACCAATTGAGAGTGCACACGATTTTATCCTCTTGAGACAAGTTCTGAAACGTCTGATATCCAAGATATCTCATGCTAAAACTACCATCTTCGTGATCGAAACTGATGATCAAGTTGTCTGTTTCTGCAAAGTTTCAGATCGAGCCTGGAACTCATTTAAAGCATGTGCTCGGTTTGGCTCCCGGCAGCATGGCGTACATTTCCTTGCTTCCGCACCTTGCATGCCTGGGAAAAAATGGCGGGAGTGCAAGACATCCAAAGTTTCGTGGCGAAACTGTGAGAAATCAGTCTTCCGCCATTTTTAATGATTTGATTAATATCACTTGAGTTCACACTTTAGGAATGATACATCGTCCGTATGGGGCCAGGAGAGTTGAGAATCGGTACGGATCGGAGTAACCATTCTGGGAGAAATGATTGGGGTCGTGTTCTTTTACGAATTAAGCTTAATTCATTATGACTTGGTTAAGAATATTGTCTGCTTTGTCAGGATTCATCGACTGCAAAGGATAGTCTAATATTGAGGCCTATTGAGTGAAGAACAATTAAATAGTAATAAGAATAAGGGTCGTAAATCTAACTGATGTCTGGGTCACTGTATTGCAACGTTCCATCAAATCTAATGTTACGAATCACATAAAGCATCCATGTTCATGTCTGGCGCCTGCATATTATTATGTCGAAAATGGAAGAGTGTAAGTGATATTAAACCGAAAGTATGGATATGAAAAAGAAGACTCTGATGTTGCCTAATATGTATGATTATAGGACTCGAATTCAGTTTGGTGATTCATTATCGCAACCTAAACCAAAATTATATTTACAATCCAGAGTTCTTTTAAAGTCAAATAATCTCTAATTCAGTATTTCAGAAGCGTATCCAATTAAATTTGCTTATTCCCCCTTCCATTCAGTTTGTCATCTTGCAGTATAAGATATAGAACGCTTGAAATTGAAAACAATATATATTGTCAAATATAATGGTAAACATTGAATTCGCCCACAGTAGATATCAGATTGCAAGAAGAAGAAGACAGATACAAAAAAAGGTTGAAAATCTTATTTGTATCCCCTCTTTATTCATTCCTCCTGTTTCCTTTCTCCTTTTTACCCTTCTCATTCCTCTTCGTCAATGCACTCCCTCATTCTCCCCCACTCCTCTTCTCCTCTCTATACCCTCTCCTCCGTGGGGATAGACTGGGTACAGCTATTGAGAGGGTAGACATAAAAAGGGGCGATCTTATCAGGTGGATAAATGGAAATTAACTAGGCCACCAATGGGAGGATGGGTGTACCGGTGTGGAACCTCTTCTTCTCTTTGCATCATTCTCCCCATTGTTTTCTCTCTCTCTCTCTTTTGTTTTCCTTCTTTTTCTTCTTCTTCTTCTTCTTCTTCCTTTGTTTTCTTCTTCTTCTTCTTCTTCTTCTTCTTCTTCTTCTTCTTCTTCCTCCTCCTCCTCCTCCTCCTCCTCCTCCTCCTCCTCCTTCTTCTTCTTCTTCTTCTTCTTCTTCTTCTTCTTCTTCTTCTTCTTCTTCTTCTTCTTCTTCTTCTTCTTCTTCTTCTTCTTCTTCTTCTTCTTCTAATATGATCAGAGGTACTTGCCCCCTGATGCCGCCCCCTTATCTACACCGGGGCTTCTCTTCAACCCATCCCACCTTCGTCCTCTCCAAGTTCCCCAAGATATATCCCGACTATTAAGTGATGACATCTATTTACATTGCCACAATAATTGTTACCGTTCACCAATGCTGGAATCGGATAGCCCTGCACTTCCGATATTGGTTTATTTTATCAAGCTTCAAGAAAACAAACCAACGCCATCACGCGTGTAGCCGATGCAGACAACACACGTGGTTCATGGACGGTTCTAATCAAGAACGACTTCCACGCTCCATTTTCATAACATTTCTCCAGATGATTTCAGAAGTCGATATAAACCATATGAACTGGTAAAACTTTTTGACTTTCACTTTTGTTCAACAGAGAAAAATTTGCTAATGTGACTTTATAGATGCGTATACGTAGAAGTGTTGTGGTCTAGTGAATAAGTCACCCGACTGCAGATCTCGAGGTACGGGGTTCAAGTCTCGCCGCGGCACTAATGTCCTTTGACAAGACGTTAATCTACATTTGCCACTCTCCACCCAGGTGTTAATGCTTGCTTGAGCGCTAGTTACTTTGCCAGCTCGGCTATAACCAGGGTAATTATGTGTAAAGTGCCATATTCTTATTATACTTTGTTTCCTACATTTAGATGTTACTAACCTACAAATTTGATATTGTTATACTTCATTGTATATTTATATTGCATGTTCCATGTTATAATTAATGTGGTTGATGCTATGACCACTACATTGAAAATAGAAAATAATTTTGTAGAAAACGATGTGATCCCGCAGGAGATCCGGATAATTTTGAATTTCTATTGGAAGTATTCGGCGCTACAGATTTCGACTGTCTATGATTGCTTATTTTGTAATTGATAAATTTTAAAAAATAAGAAAATTATCGGCTACACAACCCACGTCTTTCATGGGAATTGACTGATCTCACTTTACGGTGACAGTCAAAACTTTGAATCGGAGGGGCAGATCCAGGATACCCTTTTGCGGGGGGGGGGGCAAAAGTCTAGCTAGTAAGTACAGAAATAAGAAAAGAAAGAATTTAACATTCCCACGTGCATTTTTATCTGAAGGGGGTGAGCTAGTTATCTGCTCCTTAAATATGCGCCTGTGTAAATCAAATCAAATCGAACCAAACCAATTTATTAAAATGAAATGCATATAATTACCACCGCAAATAATGGATACGGGTGTATGTGTGTGTATGTGGGGGGGGGGGGGGAGTTTCACGAAATGCTATCTCATTCTGAAGTCGACCATGGATGGGATGTGCAGCTATGCAGACTTGACAGCTATGAGGATGACACTGTGCCAAGAAGATATAATTAGATCATCTGTGTCAAGTATAGAACAATGCATTCCTGTATCTGAGTCACGTGACTATCTATCTGAGTCATCCCGTTGATAGGGGATGTATTCCATTGTCATGCACTGGTACTAGGGGCGGATCCAGG